GATTTTTTTTCCCGTTATTTCCCGATCATGACAAGGAGCACACGGCGTGTGTGACCGGTCGGCAGGGGATGCCCACTCCTGCATGGCACCTGATCCCACCTCTGTTTTCGAGGTCCATGTTTTCTATGTTCCTATTTTGTATTGTTTTATGGACTTTTGAGCTTGGATACTGTTCGTTATCTCCTTATGTTTATTCTCACACTAGAATCTACCAAGGGTGGCTTTTGGATAATGATTGACAAGCAGTAGGAAAATTCATGGATCCCTGTAGTCTCTGTGGATTAGTAAACCTTTCTTGACTAGATAGTGAAAAGAAAACAATAGTTTTAATCTTAATATATATAACTTTCATTAAAAATTGTGGTTTCTTTTCAAAATCTATTGATAAATGTATAAAGGGGAAAAGTTACCAAATTTATGTTTTTAATTTTTTTGAAACACATTCAATACATTTACAATTAGATTAGATTTAAATTTATTCAAAACCTTTAGTAAGAAATATTCTACCAATACATTTCTTTGTGCTGGTCACTTGTCATCTACATGTAGCTGTAATAAATACGTAATAATATTCATACAAACTGATAATTTCATGTAAGGATTTATTTATATGCTTAAATTTTTATCAAGAAAAATGACACGATATTAATGTCATTAAATGTATGTAAGATTGTAATACATGTATCGATCATTTTAGTCTTCTCAAGTTTTCCTCGACCTTGAAACAGATGGCCTCAAAATTAAATATGTCTCTTTAATTGCATGGCAACGAAGTTGAATAATGAATATAATTAACATATATTCATTTTTTAAAAGTCAGATTAACAAAGTACAATTATGTAGATTTCATGGAGATGGTAACCATTGAATGAAGTGATCCTGTTTTAGGTGCGCCAATGGGAGAGTAAATATGAGACAAGAATGTTAGAAACTGATATTTTTTCTTTGAATTGACATTGGAGCTCAATTCAAAGTAGTTCAAGATCACTACACAGCTTTGTTTTGACCAAAGAGAAAAATTTGCTCTGAAAAAGGATTTTTTGATATTGACCTTTGCCCTAGAAACTTAAACCTCGTTTTCAAAATTGATCCGTATCTTTTTTTCATTCAAAATGTAGAAAGTTATACATATTTAAATTGTACTCAGTTCTAATTTAAACTATATTGGGCGCGTCTCAAGAAAATACAGCTCAACGCACTTTTTAAACTCACATGGTTTTTCGCGCACATTAGGTTACATTATTATGATGCAAAATTGTGTAACGTAACAAAATATATTTTAGAAATGATTTATAACTTAATTTTGATCATATTCCATTACTTTAAACATAATTCACACATAATAATTTGTAGGATTTTTATATGCTCTTCAATGATATATTACGAGAGTTTCCAAATGGTTTTTTTTTCATGGTTTCTCGTCAAATGCAACCATCTTTGTATCCGTTCATGTTAAAGCATACTTTTGCCTTTCCTTAATAGAAAAACAATGCAATTCATGTAACTTCTGTATTTTCTGTACATAAATATGACACTAAGGCACAAGATGATATAGGTACTAGTATTTCTTCCTGAAATCTAGAATCTCGAAAGATACCTTCCAACGCAAAATTTAAAATTTTCAGACCATAAATATAAAATAATTTTCTTTTCAATAATTACAATTTACTTTGTTGAAAGACAAACAACTTCATTATCCTATCCTTTTTCTTTATGCAGTTTTGCCATTTTTCGGCGCTGCATTTCGACAAAACCAAGGCAAGTATCGAAAATGTGCAAAATACCTAGAAAAGTACTCATCTGTAAGAAGTCAATTTGAATATTAGACATCATACAATTTATAAACAAATTCTTTTTACGAACATTGACTTTTAAAACTTAAGATAATGATTGTAAAGAATATCTACCTTTAACATGAAATATTTAATAATATAACAGCTGAAACTCGATAATTTAAGTGTTATTGCAAGAAAAATGTGACTTTAATTTGTGCGAAAAACCATGAGAGTTTAAAAAATGTGTTGACCTGTATTTATGCATTAATGTCAACAATTCTTGCCAAATAATAATAGTCATGATCATGTAATTATAGAATTAATAAACTTTATGAGTTTTAAAGATGTAAAGTTGTATATCTATGATAAACATATAAAAAAAATATGCCCTCATTTGTGTAACACGTCAAAAGTGTTACATAATGCCAATTCACAGTCCCCCGATGCTTATTAAAGAAACCATTATCACAAAATTTCTACTCGCTAATAAGGCGATAAAAACTAAATACGTTAACACCGGTTTTTAACTACTCAGTACCCACCTCTACACGATAAGTTTGAGTTAGGTCATATGATTTGAAAACCAGGGTTAATTTTCACATGTACTACCTCGATTACACAGAACAAAGACCTATATTTTTAATGTCCCCCTAGTTAACGAAAATTATATTCAATTCTTTATTTCCTTATGCCATATGGCGCATCAGACAATTGTTATAAACAACATATATATTTTCAAACCTTTCATTTATATGATAAATATTTACATACTATATTATACGCATTCTACAAACAATTTAGTATTTCTATTCTTCGTTGTGAAGCGATGAACAAAAATCTTCCCAATTTAGAAATTTCTTTGACATTTGTATTAGTTTGAAGACACTAGGTTTTTAAAAATAATACTGTTTGATATATTTAATTCTGAGATCTTGATATACCTGGCATATTAATATAAAATGGAATGAAGGATATGGAGATAACAAACAGTATTCAATATCAAAGTCCATAAAACAATACAAAATAGGAGCAGAGCGAATACGGACCTCCAAAACATGTCGCCATGGAGGAGTGAGCATCCCATGCTGACCAATACACCCGCCGTGTGCTCCTCGTCATGATTGGGAAATAACGAAAAAATCCCTCGTCAATTCAGGTGTAAATAATGGACGAACAATAAGTATGAAACACGTCAGTCAGCATTTGACTCAATGATAAATTGTATTTGCTGATAAGGTCAGCTTACGAACTTACGAAATGATGACTTTAAAGGAGACTGCTGATATTCTTGTTTCGTCAACTTGTTTGTCAATAATTTACCTCGTTTTAGAAATTGTACGTAGAGCATACTCTTGCGTATCGAATCAACTGAGATATATAATAGCCGTGTGCAGGTGATCAGGGGATGAAAGTATATTGCTGCATAATTAAGGGAATTGGACGATAGAACGGTTTTAGTCATCACGTTTATCATAGAGCTTGGTTGATAGATTACCATTAACGTCTTTTTCAAGTAAAATATCAAAGTATGAAACAGATGTGTCAGACTCTGTGGTATCTTTATTTTCAAGCTCACCAGGATATATCGTATCGACATAGGAATGGGAAATGACCATCGTAAATTGACACTACGTCGTCGATATATCTTAATGTTGAGTTGAAGGCCACAACAAGTGTTTTCTTCTTTTTACGCAAGATTTTGGACAAATTCTGCTTCATATGAATACAAAAATAGGTCTGCTAATACGGAGCGCAATGGGTACCCATGGGAATTCCAATAGATTGTTGGAAGACCTGGTCTCCAAAAACCATATAGATATTGTCAATCAAAAACTCAAGCATCTCTTTGATGTCAGCCCCAGAGTACATCTTCTACATCATTCAAGTCACATAATAAACATATTCTGTTGTTTCTATTTTCATTAACATATCTACCTTCTTCAACCCATAATTAACACTAGACAGTTTAAAGGTTGTGATACATTTTTTGTATGCATGTTTAATAGGTTTTGATAAATAATTATGTAAACAAAAATGGTATATAATGTGTTGATACAACTTTCCCTTAGTATACAGATAATTACTGTGAAGGATTTCTTGACAATGCACATCAAAAATAATATATTATATCAGTGTTAAATAACTTACTTACTTAGCAAAATAAATTTGATAGAACTATCTTTACAATAATTCTTTGTCTTTGTAAATTTGTTTCCCAAACTAACAATGAATATCAATTCTTTATTCTTGAATCGATCACATACTTAATAATGAGAAATTAAGCCACAAAACTTTTCTCGTTGACAAAAAGTCAAAAAGAAAAAAAGTGACTAAACTGCATGTCATGAGATTCAATGTGAAAATAACATAATGAAAAAATGTTGTCAGACTACATTGGACTTAACGCTAGATTGTATTTACATAAAGTCGACCATAGAATTTGCTAAATATTAACCTATTAAACGACTGTTGAAGCCCTTGTGTCAATAACATATTTGTCAATAACTCGTTTTAGGAATGTTTGTAGTTAGAGCATGTTCTTGCATATCAAATCAACTGGGAGATATACTAAGTATAACTACATATGCAGGTGATATGGGCATATTGTTACTCAAATAAAGAAATTTGTAGTCATTACCTTTATCAGAGGAGTTTGTATTTAGTTCATAGTAAATTAAATAACCAGATATGAAACTCGTTAAATTTAAATGTCGAATTGAAGGCCAAAACAAGAGACTTTTTTCTTTTCAAGTAGAAATTTCCCACTACTAAATATGACTGGTCTAAATATAAATAGATATTGTAAGGACATACTTTTTAAATTTGGTAAATGTAAAATACTATGTTTTAGCTACGGCATACACCTCTGCGTGTCTTATGGCATTTTTTAAAAGTTAATTCTTACAAATAAAGGATCATTTTTCTTTACTCGTTAACTTCCTTTTTTTTTAAATCAAGTGAATTAAAATACCAAATTTTTGCATCCGTACAAAAAATTTTAACAATAAATTAAAATTCAAAAAGAAACGCCCACGATATTTTGATTTCCTGGTGTATTTGGTATTTAATTTGTTATTGGACATCTACAGTTATGCCGGGAACTGTACGTAGATGCTGCGAGGCTGACGTATGTTTATCCTTTGAATGGTCGGCAGTGATTATCCTATACTACGATATATAAGACCGCCGCGCATCTCTTGGACATTGTATAGGCTATCATCCAATATGGGAGTGTCTGGAACCACTACTCCAAGCTGTGGGGTGAGAACATTTCTTAATCATCTATTCTACTTTAAAGAGCATATTCTAATCTACTCCAAATGGTTGATCAAAAGTTTAAATCAGAGATTTATAATTACTAATTTGTTTTTTAAATGAAAACCTTGCATATATATTTCATGTTTTTGAATAGAAATGGAATACTTTGTAATATTCTAGTGCTTTATCAATAAATGAGTAAATGCTACTCAGTAATTGTTGTTTTTTAATGTCAATTATTCAAGAAATAAGTCCACCTGAATCATAACCTTTATTTTGAAGGATATTTGAATTTAATTAGTTTAAAATATACTACCCATATTTAGAGGAAATTACTCTAAATGCTTATCTTTTATATTTTTGTATCGTAATGTTTACGATGAATTTTCCCTCTGTATACACAAATGTCAAGAAATAGTTGAAATATGGCTGGAATATTGCAGATTGTGCATAATTTTGATTGAGTAAATGTCATTTAATTAATTGTTTTTCTGTTATACCAATACTGAATATTTATAGACTGAATTTATAGGAATAAGTCTATTTTCCTGCATGAAACAAACAGAAAACTACATCATACCAATTAAGTAAGCAGCATAAAGCAAACATAAGCATGGCAATGATTCACTGTTTGCTTTTATGAAAACAAAACTACGCTCATTTCATTCTTCTTAATTCCAGGATGGGACATCTTTTCTCAACGATACTCTGAAAAATTGCATGGACTTTGGCAATGGTACCCTAATGATACGACAGAGCCCTCTACTGGAGACCGACACGTCTCTAGCAATAGGCTACATCGTCGTCATGGCGACTGCTCTGCTGGTCGGAACTGTTGGAAATACCCTGATACTCTTAGTTTCCACTGTCCTAAGAGGAATCAACAAATCCGGAAAAGAATTCATCATCAATCTCGCACTCGCTGATTTCTGTGTCACTGCAGTGGCAGATCCGCTTTGTATTATCGGTAGGTAAAATTTGCATAATTGACTGTTTACAAGGAGTAGAGCATAATGGAAAAATTGAATGAAACATTCTATCCTCTATTATATGTTGCTTTTGAAAATAATTAAAATGCCACATCAAAGCTTAAACTAATTCGAGATTTATTTTTTTTTTTGTAAAAATGCAGACTACCATGGTAAAAAAAATAGCTGAACTATTATCGGCTTGATGTAAAACTAACATTTTATTCTGTATCAAATGCTTATTTTCTGAAACAAAAATGATTAGGCCTATTATGATGTGTTTTATACTGTTTCACAATACATCTGAGGTAGGCCTAATGCACTTTTGCAAACTATGCAATCCAAAAGTGTAGAACATCGTCAATTGTGAATGGGTTTATTTCTTCTTGAAGTCATAAATCTCAGTTTAAAGCAAACCATTAAACATCTTTTTTAAGTATATACATGTAAATGAATTTATTTTTCAAGGGGTTGCAAAAGGAGAGCAGTTTTTTGACGATAAGGAGTGGCTTTGTGAGTTTGTAGCCAGCCTGTGCTTGACAGCTTGTTTCTGCGCGTTTCTTAGCCTGACCTTATTGACGATGTCGCGTTATATCTACCTATACCACAACCAGGTTTACGACAAAGTCTTCAATCGATTTACCTGCATTTTGTTTTGCATTACCTGTTGGGTCGTCGCCTTCTTGTTCGAGTTTCCCAATTTTATCGGATGGGGAGGACATTACTTTGACAAGAAGAACCACCAGTGTATCTGGGATCGGACGGCTAGCTTGTCCTATACGATGTTTGTCTCCGTCGGTTTGATTGGCGGACCCCTCATCGTTATGACTATTTGTTACATTTTGATTTTTCAACAAATCTGGGAAACCAAGCGCGATATCTACAAATTTGATACCGAAAACCCCCTAAGAATGAGGAAAGCGTGGAGCGAAACTGTTCGTTCATCGAAGACCTTATTCTGCATTTTTGTCGTCTTCGTTATATGTTGGACGCCGTACGCTATAACCATTGCCCTTGATGTTCAGGACAGGCTTTCTACTGAGGTTCATTTGTTTGTTACTCTTCTAGCACATCTGCATTCTAGCGTCAACTGCATCATCTACACAGTTGGAAACAAGAGGTTTCGAATGGGAATTCTTCGACTGTGTGGTAGCAGATCTTCTTCAATGAAATCTGGGTCATCAAACCACGATATCATCACAAAAAGAACCAGCAACTCATCGAACACGCCCTCTGTGAACAGCGACACCTACACTCCACAGAAACAAAAACTTCCTCTCGAGGCATCCTCACTGAGTACCATAACCGGTTATCTATCGTCACAGGGAAGCTCCTAAACTGAAATTTCGTTAAAATTGTCCATGTACTGTTTTAACCCCCTGTTTTAACCGTCCAGTATATTTTTGTTATTGTTATATATACATGTATAATTGTACCCGTGAACCAAATATAGAAATAAATCATGATGTGAATCAAATGATGAAATAAAAATGATTTTTTTTTTGTATCAATGACTTGTTATTTACTGTTAGTGTTATTAATTGTGATGTTCGAAATAATTGTTTTGATGAACTAACCTGTATATATGTAAAATTCGTTGAATATATTAAAATGTTTTTTCTATCTGCTTGTTATCATTTTATCTTCTTGGGCAACAGTGTAACTTGTATAAAAAGCTGTGGAGGCGAAACCTAATAGATAAAAAACACCGGAAATTATAGTTAAAAATAATTAAAATGAAATTAGAAGACATGATAAAAAGTAAAAGGCACCGAATACAATATATCATTAAGTCAAATACTGAAGGGCCTTTTTTTTTTCTTTTTTTCTTTTTTATTAAGGTCAGACGACACGTTCCTGAAAAATATATAAATTTTCCTTAGAATTTGTCATTGAATTATAGGTATATAAACAAGTTTTCTCACAAAAAATTAGGGTACCTTACCAGGCATTTGGCCAAGATACCATAGGGTCTTATTTCTTATATAAACCTTATGGGCAATTTTCTAAATGGCCTGTAACACAATTGTGTACTTATATTTTAAAACAAATTGAAAACAATGTAGAAATCAGAAGAGAATGACAAATATGAAAATTTTTTATATAATACCAAGAAATAAAAACATATATTTGAGGAACGTGTCGTCTGACCTTAATTATTAGACAATTATTTGCACACTTAATTGTATACGGATTTTTTTCCGATCATGACTAGGAGCACACGGCGGATGTGAACGGTAGGCAGGAGATGCTCACTCCTCTATGGCACCTGATCCCACCTCTGAGTGTTTTAGAGGTCTGTTTTTCGTTTTCTCCATATTTCATGTAGAATTAACGTTTTGAATGACGTAACAACGAAATTTTAATAGGCCTTTGTCGAATGTTAGTTGTAAATTGTAAATTATGAATTTACCGGGTGCTTTAGATAATACAAATTTTACTACATTATTTGTTGCATGTATTTACTGCCATCCGGAAAATTTACAACATGAAATCACGTCACCTTATGCAAAGCATTTTTCATAATACCGTGTAAATACACACATTTACGTGAAAAAAGATTTTTCTGATTGTGTCTTCATATCGGTACAAAAGCTGCAAAAAAATTGTAAAACCAGGTCTCCAGAAATTACGTGCCTAAAATTTAATATTGCGTAATAATTTTCCAGCTATGATGAAAATTAGTTCAAAATAATGCAAATTATCTCATGGTTTATGATTGGATGTAATTTCGATTTTTCTAACTCGAGCCTCGTATTAAGGATGACGAAATTTATACCTTTGGTCAATATAAATATTTTTCGATGAATAACAGCCCTGTATATACTCATATCGGTACTCAAACAGAGAACCTGCAAACAAAGTTAAGTCGTATTTCTATTTACAATGTACATGTAATTGAATTTTATTTCACATGCGCTATTCAAAAATTACATATATATTGCGTACATAATTTTCCAAAGTTATGATGAAAATTATCTGTTTTTTTTAACAAAACGACTCCATAGTTTTTACTTAAGCTTGTTCTCAGTTTATCATATCATGGCTCTACCTATTGATGCAAATAATTCCATTATCTTTGATCATATAAGGTTGCATTTAAGTTTTTAATTGAACAGATCATACTCTTGTTTGAAGTATAATTTAGAAGTAGAAATGATAATGTTCTTAACAAAATGAACGCGTATATTAAAGAATAAAGAAACATCAGTGAAAGTGAAACAGTTTTGTTGGCATGATTCAGTCCATTGCCCTTGATTAAACTACAGACTTAGCCTTTAATCAAATTCAAGGAAATATTAATTAAATCCTCTCCCAATCATCTATCCATTCTTTGAATTCCGCTTACAATGATTTTTTTGTATCTTAATAGTGGAAATTATTTCTTCAATTGTCAATGCATAGTCTAACGAAGCCTAGTAATACCTCAGGTTACCAATCTTTCAACATTTCAACCGAGGGAGAATATGTTAGTGGACGAGCAGTCAACCTTTAATGTCATTTGTTCTAGAGTCCGATGATACATAATGTCGACAAAGAAAGAATAAAATTATATAGAGAAAGCTTTTGTCAAAATTCAAATAATTTTTAACAGCCCTCGTAACTCAAAACAAAACCTTTTATTTGAAAATGGTAGTAAGGATTTATTACATAGAAGCAAATGAAAATTTTTAAAGATTTGCTGAAAATTTGATGAAATATATGGAGATAACGAACAGAATTCAAGCTCTCTAAACACTACAAAATTGGAGCAGAGCAAACAGGGAATCTTTCGATTTATGCTTTCATGGAACTTGAAGTTGATGCTTATACCCTTCTTCGATTTATAAAAGGAATTTTAAACGTGTAAAAATATCTAATAAAAGGTTATGATTATTTTCACTCTTTTAATCCAATTATTTTGTTTAATAATCATAAAAAAGAATTTAAAAAAAAAACATATAAGATACCCCTTACCGCCGACATGATTTATTCTTGGAATAGGAATTAATTTTGAGATTTTACTTAAGGATATACAGGTATAAATCCTAATTACAGTTTCCAGCGTTAATCGTATTATCAGTCAGCTGATTTGTACTATTTCCTGATTAATTCTGTCTGGACATTCCAAGATTACCATTTCAATTAAGTACGGGAAGTAGAATATAATAAATTATTTTAAATAGATGCTGAGATGGAACCTTTATTCCAAATATAGATGGTTTCCTCGATTTTGCTTCACTTCTTAAGGTTTAAAAAAATGTATGTAATTCTATTCTTATTTAAAGCCATCAATAGTGGGAAACTAAAATAACACCACCAGAAGGTTTACATAAGAAGGAGTTTTATAATACTTATCAAAGAGAGCACAGTCATTGTTTCTTTTATTTTTAATAGAAACCCTTTTCTGTTCTTTTTGGACAAAACATTTTCGTGAAAAAACATTGATTTTTATTGTTGACTTCTACTGAAAACTCCAGAATTTGAAGGTAAAGATGTCAATTTTAAATTATATCTTCTGCATTTCCTTATGTAAAACATAATTATTTCTAAGTAAATTCAAAATACTTGCATTAAAGGGATAACAATATGATCGAGAACAAGGTCTGAAAACTAAACAGTGCTGTTGTGAATGTTTACTATTTGAAATTGTTTTGAATAGATTTTGATGTTTCCTAAATGATTTGATGCTGGGGCCACAGTATGGGAAATACAGTGAAATTATAGGTGAAAATCTTAAGAAAACTTAAAATCTTCAGAAGACCAGAAGAGCAATCGTATTGCATGGTCATATTTAATGTACTGTATAATCATCATAAATGTTTATCTTTTTATTTATCTCTTTCTTTCATTGTCGTCCCAAAGGAGAGGGATGGACAATAATAAAAAGTTAAATTTTCAAAGATTTCCCACAGGCATTTTGTAATAATTTTTTAACCCTTAGTAAATTAATAACTTACAAACTTTGAATTAAAAAAAAATATTACCGAATCAAGTGTTGTGGGATAAACATGTAACAAGGGAACTGTTTTAAAATATTTGGAAAGAATACATGAAGGAGGAATTAAACATCCTTTAGTTTTCGATTTATTGACATAATTTTGACAAGTTTGCTTTATTTGAAACTAAATACACATTAGTACTGTTTAATTCTACATCAGTAAAAAAAAGGTTAAAGATCAATGTGTCGAAATAAAAAAAAAATCAAGCTTAAATAAACTTCAAAGTACTTTCTTTATTCGCAACCAATTTTCTCCTATTTGCCAGGTATGTAATTAAGTGATCTATATATGGGATACATTTCCGATAATTCCAATAACTCATTTGTAAACAAAGTTAACGGCAATATTGTCATAAATCTGTTAACAGTTTAAGAAAGATTATACAGAAGTATTTGATGTGTACATGTATTTTTTAAAATAGTAGTCAGTTAAAACTGTTGATAGTCCTCGTATACAGAGATAACCCCAGTCTCTCTCTTTCCCGAAATTCAAAACACTATCATCCTACATCAGTCATAAACTGTTGAGTATGAAGTTTACGATAGCTTTAGGCATTCATTATACTATCGCGTAATGAAGTTGGATCAAGTGCCATCCATGGACGAGTAATCATCCCCTTTCGATTGGTCAATACCATGTATTCCTTGTCATAATTGGGCAAACGGAAAAATCCATAGACACTTCAATGTGAGAATAATGGCCTTACAATTCACAGGTAGTGTATATGCAAAAAACGTTCATCAGCATTCGACTTATGATAAATTGTACTGACAAGGTCTTTTTTGACAACAGAAATTGCAAAATGTTGACGTTAAACATAATTGTATTATCAAAGTATTTGACTGTAATTTTACCTCGTTTTTTGTCAAAAATGAAGCGTGCTAAAAGCTGAAACTTGAATTGATTATGATTATTTGACTGCTTAGAAGGCAATCGAATCAACCGGAAAAAATAATTCTATATGCAGGTAATTATGGTATATTGCTACAAAATTAAAAGAAGTACGACAAAAAAGTTGAAGTCATCAATTTTTTAAAAATAATATTTTGGTTGGAAGCGTTGTTCTAGATTCTACTCTGAAACAAATTCAGAAATACATTTTTAAAACACCAGTATTTCAAGTCTTCGAAAGTAAATTGGATACATTTTCTTTGATGGTCTAAGTGCTTTTATTAAGTCCATACTGATAAGGGGCCGAATTAATGAAAAAAAAATATTCCGAATCTGCACATACTAATACTTAAAATGAACGTACAATAAATATATCAACAATAAAAGCTACATGACAGTAAACTAGAATTAGATGGACATCTTGAATAATATTATATATTTTCTTTGAAAGGAATGAACACATACTAGTTTCTTCAAAATGTTACAGATATTCTGACATTTGATTTTACCGCTCCCTACTAAATAATTAACTTATTAATTCATACAATCTTGTACTCAGACATATTATTA